AGGTCTTTCGCGTGGTTGTCTGGAAAAAAGACCACTTCAGAGACCCCTATGATTTTTCGACCCTACTGTGGACGGGTCTCTATTTCGCACGTTGGGGTCTCTTTATACAGTATAGGCTAGGCGACTGTATGTCCTTCCAAGGCACCGGTTGGTCCCACGCGTCGCGCGTCGCACGGCGTCTCGGGCGCACGAAGCAAGGTCTCGGAACATGGTCGAGAGCACCGGGCCCTTGTGGGGACGAATGAGTCGGGGGAGAGCTGACTGGGATGCCTAGGGATCCAAGGGACGAATCCCAAACTGAACCAAGTGGCTTCAAGTCCGGAACCAAGTGGCGCGTTTGGAGGCTTTGGATGCGGAGCGGCACTCAGAGCAGCAGAAGCTGACTTCCCGAGCCCCTCGCCAGAAAGAGCACCTGGGAGCTCACCTGCATTGGACGTTCCATGGCGCTGACTAATTAATTACCTGTAATAATGACATGAACAGATCCCCTTGGAAGATGGTGAAGCACTTGGGATTCGTACGTGCGTTGATGGTTCAGGGATTGGTGTCTCATGTGGCCATGTGGGCCTCAATGACAACCCGAAAACTCACAGAACGAATGGTGCAACCTGCTTGGAGCAGTGAGGTTTTGATGAGACAATTCAATAGTGCTGCTGTATTTCAACGTGGATCTCACACTTTTGTAGTATATATATATATAGATATTGATTTTAAAAGGGTCGCTACTGTGCCAGGCAACTTTGTGCCTTCGCACAATGGCCATGACATTTATGGTGTCGAGTCACATCCCAAGCCTTCGCCACTTTTGGGGCATCCATTCACCTCAGAATTTGACCTCAATTGTGGATCAGGTTTGTTTTTGGAGGGCCCTACACAAGCTTTTGTACCAACAAACCAAGTGGTCGGGCGGAAAAAGCTCAAAACTCAGCTCTTGAGTTTACATGTGATCATGTGCAGGGGTGTGATCATGCGCATGGGAGGTGTTTGCTTGGTATGACCATGTCTAGTCTGGACAATGGCACCTGTATGCACCTGTTTGAAGTCCAACATGTGTGTGAGAAAGGGCTGGTAACGGATGGCTGTGTTTTAAGGAGAGGGAGTGCCGACAAACATCCGACTTTTGTTGCTTGTATGTTCCTTGCCCGCATGAGGTGAGTCTTGGTGCTCAGCTCAGCTCCAAGATGAGCTGCTTGGTGAGTTATCAGATGCCATCGGTGTGGACCCGGAGAGTGGCCCAAGAACATGACAAACAACTCGATGGCATTCGTGAGCCACCAAGTAACCATCATGGTTGTGTACAGTACATTCGATGCTTGACATGTACAGTAACCATCGCCACCTCAAGTCGTGTTTTGGACGAAAGCGGAGTCTTTTTCTCGGGGAGGTTGAGCTCACGTTTGCTTGCTTTACCTGAGACACACGTGTGGGCAGGCTTCTATTTGAGTTGACCAACCACCTGGGAAATCGGTTTGGGGAAACTCGCCACTGAGTTGCTTGGTGACGAATCCTAGTTTGGTCAGAAACAGCCAAACGGTTCCCTGAAGCACCCAGACCGATGTCTCCCAACCTGTGCACGAGGCCTTTTTGAATGCAGACCAGGCAGGTCCAGATGAAATCACAGGTCTGATTGAGCACTCACCAATGGCCCATCAGATGGTTTTAGGGGTCGAGGAGTAGCGAGGATTTTGGAAGATGATGCTCAATCAATTCACCCGACGCCCCGACGGCCTTCCTCCACAGAACCCTCCAAGGTCACTTCAAGCGAGCGTTGGAACCTCTTTGTAGTCTTCTTCGAGGCGGCGGGACGCGTATTCTTCGGCCGTCGTGGCGCTAGGGAGTGGTGTTTTGGAGAGGAGGTTTTCCCGGTCTCAGGTCTCTTCAGAGGCTCTTGGAGGGCCAAAGCACATCATTTATGGATGTATGGTGCTTCTTGCGGCATTCTGGACGTCAAAAGCAACGGTTCATGCACTGACATCAAGCACCGAGCGTGCTGCGCCTCAGGTGACGAGAAATCCGAGGTGCCCCACCCGACGGGGGCTGGACTTGCGGCAATGGCGGCTCACAACCATTTGTAACGTTTGAGATGGTTTGAGTCATGTGTGCCATGCCAGCTGGGTTTCGGGGTGCCTGCTTGTGTTTAATCCACATGCCAATTTGAAGGCACAAGAAATTGTTTACTCGATGCGACCACTTGTATCATGAGCAGTGTATGGTGGCCATCGGGCCGGGTGAGACACAGTCTAAATGTGCTTGAATGTGCTATCCTCATGCACCATGGACCTCATCCACGAGTTCAGCCCTGTCAATTGATTGGCTTCCTCACCACCAGAAAACGAGTCCATCCACCATGGACCATGAATCCAGCTATCCTCAAACGCACGCACCCTTGAGCGCAGATTTTCCCACCCACGACGCTCGCAGGTAAAGGACGCCAGCACTGCCGAGACAAACTCGCTCCTTGGCTTGGGCGAGACTGGTCTCGGCTAAGACCAAACCTCTTTGGGAACCCTGGTGCAGGTGGAAAGAAGGAGATACCGGCCCTTTGACTCAGTATATATTTAACTATATTTATATAAGAATAGTATATTATATACGTGTTTTCCTTCATGGACAGGTTTGTGTCCACTTCCATGTTAGTCAGTCGGAGTGTTATCTCATTTTGCTAGTAGTATACATGAAGATACATGAAGATAATAGATATTCCAAAAAAAAGAGGAGGACTTCAAAAAGGAGTCCTGTCATCGAGTTCTTTTGAGGGCCTCATGGATCTCATTGGATCTCATGCCACTTACAGGAGAAACGGGGACCAGTCGGCAGCAACAGAGCAGTCGCGGTGGTATGTAGTCAAGTTGGTGGCTGGTAGTAGTCAGTCTTCAAGTTGTATATATAATACTTGTCTCTCCTGACCCGAACAAACAAAGACTGCCAAAGTACTGTAGTACTGGATGGGAACACTCATGGGTGCCCAAACACTTTGAAGCACTGAACACTTAGACTTGCTAGCACCAAGAGGCGGGTTTCATATGTCCAAGTTGGTGACTCATGCCCTCCTTGTCCCCAAGGAAGCCTGCGGAGGAACCGCCAGCCAAAAGGCGGCGAGAGGCAGATCCGGACAGTGCATGTCGGTCGTTCTTGCGTTGTCTCGCCGCTGGAGACACTGGTAGTCTCAAGCGCTGGCTTCTTTGTGGATCTTTGTGGTACTTTCGCTTGCACAGTTGTGAAGGACGCTCCAGGTAAGGTGGTGGGTATGGTTGGCTTGGTTGAACTTTCATTGGCGTATTATAGGCAGTGGGATCACGTAGGACTTTGATTGAGACAGGTTGCGAAGAAGTTCCTGACAAAGTCACGTTTCTTCAAATCCATTAAGTGACAATAGTAGTGACAATTTTATACTGTTTTTACCGTGCATGGGCGACGCCCGCCACACCTGTCGTTTTCAGGAGCTGTGACGGCACGAAGAGCGGGTGGCGCCTGGACGTGACGCGGCTCGTGGCTGGAGCGATCCTGGACGCCTCCCGGTGGGTGAAGCAGTGATCAAGTGGTGCGTCAAAGAAGGATGGATATCAGATATCATTAACCTCATTAACCCTATAAGAATCATTAGGCCCTCGATCAGTGGACTAGGATGACGGCCAGGAGGGGCGAGAAAAGACTTCGGCGCGCGCCAGCGCGAGTTCACGGGACCGACCAGGTGGACTGATGTTCTTCTTCTTGATCTACAGTGGTTTCAGAGGTTCGATGGCACGTATACCCCATGATGTCCTTTAGGGGGTCCATGATGGCACCACCGACATTGGGGTCTGTGCCATTGGTCCTCTCAATCCACTATAACAGATATCATTAACACCGAAAAACAAGCAAAAACAGGTCGTACTCGTAGTTTCTCGCAAAGGCTCCCATATTCAACCTACCCAGATATGGGTCATTATACATGACTCTCCTGCTTATCTTGTGCAAAAGCCAATCACAGAATACCCCTTAAACATGCGCCCTTTGTTCTCAAATGATTAAATGTACCATTAGTACATATGAAGTCCTCCTTTAGCATACTCGCTATGCTGCACGACTTTTCATCAACCAAGATCGGGTTCTTTTGTACGTACCATAAAAGTCCAGTCTCAACATGTGCATGACCAGAAGTGTATGTACAAGTATTTGTAACAGAATTGCAGTTTGGTGGTGACGCCATGTTGTCATAGAACATCATAGAAGCAAATTTATTTGTGTATCTCGACTCTCTTTGTATGTATATAGATTCCGTCTGCGTCCTGGAGCACGGTAGGCAGAGCCCAAGTTTAGCCTGCCACTCCCAGGCTCCACATGTGCCGACGCACCGCGGTCTGAGTGTTCGGTCCGTCGGTGGGCAAGCGGAGAAGCCTTTGGAGTTCACGTGCGGAAAGGGTGCTAAGCGATCGCGGAGCTGCTTCGGAGGATCCCAAGATGGTGATGTTTGAAGATTTTTCATCCATTTGTTGGTATTCAAAGTTGAATCTGGTGATGGCAGGGACAGTCTGTACTCCAAAGCCGGCCGCGCCTGTGACACTGTGACATGGCTCGCCAGTGGAGCAAAAGAGGCACCAAACAGAACCCGGCACATCAGCCAGCCTTGAAGCGGAGGACTTCAGGGATGAGAAACTGCGAAACTTGTCTCAAAATCTGCGCAAACCCGAGATCAACCAAGTGCCTATGACATGTGACATGTGGTGAAACGATTCCGGAAACTCAAGAAAAGATCCCGGCAACAAAATATCTGATGGACCATGAATCTCGCACTCTCGCACCCGCTCCTGGCACCAGAATCGAACACGGTCTTCAGAACCAGCAGGATTTCACTCCACCAATGCATGGGTCCTCCCCTTCTGACACCACACCGGCCGGGGGGGGGGGGGGGAGACCCCGGAAACCCAAAGGAACGGACGTCCCGCCCGCCCCCCCCCCCCCCCCACGGCAGTCCGCGCTTCCTCCGCGGTGCCATCCTGGTGCAGCCGGTCGTCGTTCAGGCGGAGCGGCTCCGCAACGAGGCCGCCGAGTTGGAAGCCACGAGGCGGCCGCCGTCCCCGTCGACTCGACGGGTCAGTGGCATCGACCGGTGAGGACCGAGACCGAGAGGCGAGGTGGCCTCTGGAGGAGCTGCTGACCTTGGGGGCCCAAGATGGAGCTGCACCAAGGATGGATCAAGCTTTGGGTGCAGGCCTCCTCCCCCCCAGTCCAAACACCAAGAAAAGACCGCACGGGCTTCGTGTGTCTCTTGTGACCATCGTCCACCTGCCTGGCCAAGCCGCGGGCGACCGCTTTTGCTCGTCGTGCAGGCGAGCCCTGCAGCGGGAGGTGGACGAGTACCGACGACAGATGGAGACCAGCAGTGTGGAAAGGGGTGCCTCAGAGGCGCAACGCACGAGTTGATCATGGATGGATCAGGGGACAAGAATTCCTTCTTCAAATTGGGTGAGGGGGGTAGAGTTTCAGTCGATGGATTTGCGGCGCAACCCGCCGGTGCCGGGCGGAATTTTGGGACTTCAAGCGGCACATCAACCTCCAAGAGTCGCTCTGCTGATCATGCACCATCCAAAAACTGAAACACGGCACGTGTTTGGCTTAGTCGAATCTCGGCACCCCTCCGTCAGCAATACAGACTGAAATCCAAAGTGCAAGTCGGTGCAAGTTCCATGTGTGCTCAACGAACCAATTTGCACAGCCTCGTCATGCCAAGGCTGCTTCTCCCTGCTTCTTTCTTTGTGCTGCCAGACTCAACAATGTAACAATCTAGTCGCACATGCGATCCCAACCAGGTCTCCCAGCATGGGTTTATAAGGCATCAGTATGGAACAGTCTACAGGAAACTTATGGTTTTCACCCCCAAAGCCAGGTTTCAAGGGTTTCCTGTAGATGGTCCGAGACTGTTCGAGACCCCCACAATGCCGGTGACGAGGCTCCAGGCGCGCTCCGGATCCGGTCCAGGCGGAGCTGGCGAGGCTCGAGGCGTGTGCTGAGGCGCTGGCAGAGGAGAACCACCAGCTGCGGTCCAGGCGGGTGCTTCCTGCTGCATGAGAGGTTGGTGACGTGCGGAGTGTGGCTTCGACCTTGCAATGCGCCGCGAGAGTCAAAGCAAAGACTCCTGCTGCATGTGTTCCAAGATCCAGCAGGTGGACCAGGTGTTTTAGCCTGTTTTGGCCACCTTGGGATGGTGGATCGGTTCCTTGGATTGTGTTTACGACTGACCTCTAGCATCCTCTAGCAATTTCTTGTTGGAAGCGTGTGAGAGGACCAAAACCACTGAATCATGTGCATCTCCAACCATTCTGGTACTGGGATGAGCCGGAGGATGCTGATTCTGGTGTGTCGAGCTATACCAGAACCATCCAGAACCTTTATAGAATAAGTTCAGCAACCGGTAGTGGGGTCGCTGGGCATCCCATGTAATTCCTGCCCAGGATCGATACGCTGGCGCCGAAGGACGCGGAAGAGGCACCGGTTTTTCTTCGACCACGGCGTAGACGGGTTCTTCCGTGAGGGGAAGACGGCATTTGTGTGGCAAGGATAGGGAATCATGATATCATATTACTTATAAGCATGTTACTAACACACCAGGTAGAAGGACCCGATATGAAGGAGACAAGCGCCGCCAAAAGCAGTGTTCTTGCACAATTGACAATGTCACATGGAAAGGAACATGGCACAATGCAGTGTAGATTGCTATAGCGGCCCCTTTGCGGGACAGCACATGTTGACCCTGACTTCCTATGAGCAAAGACCCGGTGGCAACGGAGGTGGCAAAACCGGATATGAAAACGCTGATCCGGTGGAGGCCTATGCTGCGGCCATCATTTCGGCTGAGCAATGGGCCTGTGGCCCTGGCGGTGTGACAGACATTGAAAAGCCTGTTCGTGGAACCTCGAACCACGCCTGGCTTCGGTGTGTGCGGAGAGAGGTTCTAGGACGTGCCGAACTGGGTTGGAGGGAGCTGAGGAGCTGAGTCTGAGGGCATCATATCACACGCACATATATTATCATATATGATCATATGCTATGGTATACACATGTAACAATGCACATGCATACTACCAACACAGAAGCAAGGAGCCTCGGGAAGTTTCCAAACAAAGTTTGCTAAGTTAGCTTCTTGCATTTGTAGGGCCAGAGGTCTGCCAACCTCAACTGTGTTTGGATTTGTTGCATGGGGGTGGGGACAGGGGTCGATTCTCCAAGAAAGTCCATGCAACACATGTCGCCATGGATGACCAAGGTCCTCTATCACGCAGGGATGCCATTGGAAGGCACCAGCATGCCATATCTCTCGGGCGTCCAGAACCTCAGCCCGTACAGCCCGTGTGTCGTACTGTGAGTCGCGAGCGGCCCCAAGCCATGCACGTCCCATCATCCACGCCACGTGTGTGGTCTTTCAATGTCTTTCAGAGGGAGTCTATGTTTTTTCTTTTTTTCCCAGCTGCCTTGCCTTCTGGGGTTCCCCCGAGAGTCTTATGAAGCTGGGTCTCAGGGGTGATTATTCTTTCCATCGGGGCATTGGCGGTAGCACGTGGGGCATTTGGGGCCTTGTAGGCCACCCAAATCAAGCAAATTTACAGTTCAGCAAGCACTGGAGAACCTGATCTCTGAGGTCACCATCTCCTTTGCTGAGTTCTATGCGCCCTTGCTGTCTTTGGTTTTTGCCGCTGGGAGAAAGATTTCACAACTGGATGAACTGGATGGGTGGATTGATGTGGACTGACCTGGACGATTGGGTTTGGAGACCGTGCTTAACAGACGAAGGGTGTACTGCGTACCCGGATTCCTGTGATTTGTGTTGACTAGTCTCCCAGATCATGATTGCTAATGATGATATGGCATTTGATGACATGAAGAACACTAAATCTTGATGACTAAGATTCTGTATCAGTAATTTCGACGTGGAATGTTAGTTGTAAGGCTTGGTCCATGCCACGTGCCCTTCCAGATCTAACCCTTTAGCGTTCCCAAAGCGTTTGGTGCAGCGGCATTACAACCATTGGCGGAAAACGACTGAGGCCAGTCCCCCTCAACAGCTCCGGTGGGGAGCCTTGGGATGTCATGAATGATCAGCTGAGGTGATTCGGGATCCAACGATTGTGGGGCATGACGGTGGTTGGCCAAGCTTGCACGATACCGAAAACCCACTGAAGTGGAGTGTTGGATAGTGTTGGTGTGTTTAGGTTTGCGGCCCGGACACAAAACATGTTGCAACTTTCACGTGCTTTCTGTGGCCAGAAGGGAAGACACCTCACAGAGTTTGGCAAAGGGAGACACCACGAGTTCGTATGTTGTGCTTTTGGGTTTTGTTGGCTTCGCTCCGGTGAAAGTGCATGACTGACACTAGCACTACCACCAATCATTGTTGGAATGGAATGACTGACAAGACTGGGGCCAACATTCTGGAAGCTTGGCATCGAACTGTCTCTCTCTCTCTCTCTATCTCTCTTTCAGTGAGCCTACTGTTGTTTTCTTTTTGGGTTCCGCACTCCCCTTTGTGGGTCGGAAAATGGACGATTCTCACTCCTTGACTTAGGTCGATCGCCATAGCGCGGTGTAAAAGGAAGCACTCAAACGATTCCAAGCGGGTAAAACTGGTAGAGCATCCGCCGAAGTAGTGAAGTAGCTCACATGAAAACGTATCATGACATATCCATGGTAGGCCTGGGCCACGCTAGGAATCTAATCACTTTAATCGGATGGTTGCTTTCAGGGAACTGACTGGCCACGCAGCAGATCAGGTCGGCGGCTGCTGCGGTCGAGAGTTGGCTTGGCGCGTTTTGAAGTCTAAACACATGTGGGGAGCTGGATATTGTTCGGTCAGTTTGGCTGCTAAGATCAGATTTCACTAAAGCTGGCTGCCAGTTGTGGAGAGCGACACCATTTCCAGAACTGACCAGATCCGACCAGAAATTGTGGGTTTAGATTGGGTGATGCTGGAAATGTGACACATCACATGGCACATCATGGCATCATCGTTGCAGTCGTTGCACCACCCAGCAAGCACCTGGAAGCACCAACTGTTCGGATGGTGTGGTGGCTGCCAGGTGGTGAATTGGCCAGGGCCAGCCTTCAATGCTTCAGGCAGGTCAGGTATTGGGATTTGCCTGGACGTGGCGTTTTGGATCCCTTGGCCCGCATCAAAAGGGCCGAAGAAGTGATGTCACATGAGTGACTCTTCAACAGCATATCTCCGCACTTAAAAACATCTTACAACTGTTCCACCCCAAGTTTCTGGCCACCAGAGTAGAGAATAGGATAACTCAAGTGGAAAGCCCACCATCGCTCAACCAAACTGAGACCATGCTTGCTCATACCCCATCTCATCATAGCCCAGTTGGGATCCCAATAGTCCACCAAGCTGGGGATCCCAACCGCGATCCTCGGGCCCGAAGCCGCGAAGCCCAAAGCCGCAGCACGTCGCAGCCTCGAGGCTTTGCGACGCGCAACGTGTGGGGCGTCTGACCTGGGAGGAGGCACGCATCGGAAGCGGTCGAGTGGCCAAGCGAGGAGCAAAGGGTCTGGGGGTGTGGATAGGACATGACAGGACGAAGATAGGACATGATACTGATAGGGGCGAGCACTCGCTTGTGCACTTGAAATTTACCTCGCTTGTGCACTTGAAATTTACCTCGCTTGTGCACTTGTACGATGACGATGACGAATGCTACTACTACTACTACTACTACCACTACCACTTCTAGTACCACTGCATCTTTCTACTGCTACAAATGCGATGTTGACGACGACCACTACTACTCTTCTACTCTTCCAGTACTACTACTACTACTACTGCTACTACTGCTACTACTGCTACTGCTACTGCTACTGCTGCTGCTGCTGCTGCTCCTGCTCCTGCTACTGCTACTGCTACTGCTACTGCTACTACTACTAGTACTACTACTACTACTACTACTACTACTACTACTAGTACTACTACTACTACTACTACTACTA